AACATCAAGCTGAATATTCTGATTGGCCAAAAGAGACTGAACCAGACCAATACTCTGAGTTGGGGACATGGCTTGAGCTGGGCTGTGGATGGGAGCAATGGGAATGTTGACTGTACATGGAGGATTGTCTCCAGCCACTCCAGACGGCCCCATCACTATATAAGAAGACAGAGAAGAAGAGTATAAGCGACTTAGGATGATAATAAACTGATGGGCATGCGAACTAATTTATTTGCATCTTTTTGGATTTCCTTTTTACCTGGTAAGTCATCCTCATCCTCGCTGAACACATTGGGGTTGAACACAGGCAGGCTCATGAAGTCATGGGAAATCTTTCGCACTTCTGGAAGGTAGATTGTCATCTGTCTCGGTTGCAAATGAAGCAAACTGGTCTTATAGATGACTGAAAAAGAAGAAAATAGAGTTGACTCGAGAAGGAAAAAGAAAGTAACTTTTGAGTAAAGTCATGTATATGTGCTGCTTTTGTTTTTTTTTTACCTGCGCCAAGATTCGTGGGGAGGAAAGAAGCAAGTCCCACAATTTTGAATTTTGTCCCCCAAATATTAGATGTCACTTGTGCAAGGTAATTGTGCTGTGAGGCAGAAAATTGAAGATAAGGGGGGAAAGGTGAATAATAAGTGTGAAAGCTTTGCTGCTAAGCACATGTGAACCTACTTCCAGCACACTATTGACTGTTATAGTCCATGATAAATAATTAAACTGATGACAGTGCCCCTTCGCTAGTTTTCCCTCTTGATTTTCCCCTGCCCTGCTGCCTGATCATGGAGCAAATGCACACCTACATGTAAGAGATAATCAAGTAAAGAGTGTAATCTGGGTTTAAAAAACTTAAATAGAAGCTAAAGCAGTTAATTATCTGCAGCTTCACAGAGTTAACTACAGCAGAGTCCATAAAGGCTGCACACATCTGCTCACTTGGCACATCAGCAGAAACTTAAATTTGTGTACCTTACTTTAAATGTTGCTGAAGTAGAGACAAGATTAATGTGGACCTAACAATAAATCACAGTCTGTATTTTTCTTTACCTCTGACAGGTGAGCATATATTCTACAGTCAAATCATTTGTTACACAGTGGCCATCATCCGTTTGAGTGCTGAACTTCATCATAGCAGTTGGCTGCCTAAACTAAATGCTTTTCTTCTACCCATGGATGGATGTATTGATAGTTCAGGGGGCTGGAGGCTATCCAAGCTGCCACAGGGCGAGAGGGTACACCCTGGACAGGTCACCAATCTGTTTCAGGGCTAACACAGAGAGACACACAACCATTTGTGCTCACATTCACCAGAATCACCAATTAATCTAACCCCGCTAAATGCATGTCTTTGGACTTCAGAAGGAAGCCAGAGTACCTGGAAAGAGCCCAGAGCATGCAAACACAGAAAGGCCATGGCCAGATGATGGATTTGTGCTGTAAGGCATCAGGGATAACTGGCCTATGCTGCCCTAGATAAACAAATATTTTTCTTTTTTTTAAAGCTTAAATTCAAAGTCAGTATTTCCACTATGGCAGTAACTGTGAGTTTGCCAATCATTAAAGGATCTAAAAAAATATGGCAGCCCAGTAACAAAGAAAACATATTGTAGCATAAGTTGCTGTGAATTACACAGTGATAATAATGCAGGTACTACAGTATTACTAGCTAATGAGCATGAGCTGTAATACTTGGCAGTACATTGTATGTGGCAGGTCATTACCTCCGTAATTCCATCCATAGAAAACTCACGCCGTGTCAGGCTGGGTGACCGAACGGGAGGCTTCTTTGTTGGTAGGCGTGGTGATCGCTGGCCTTCTTGATTGGCACGTGAAAGTTTGGGAGATTTTCTTGATTCCATGTTCAGCCTTTGAAGCAAAGACACATTTTTACACCTCATAAAATCATTTGGAATGATGAAAAAACTATGCTGGAGAAAATGTGCAAAAAAATAAAAAAAAACATTTATATAACTTCAGACGTGTTTTGGTGACCTGTTTCCGCGAGATAACTTTGGTGACTTCTTCCCGACCCACTCATCGCTCAGCTCAATGTCACTGGAGTCAGAGCAGTTACAGCTGTCGGTGTATGAGATCATGGGATTGACGCAAACTTCCTCTGAAAGAAGCACAGCAAAGAAAAATAAGAAATGAAGTTGAGTTTGAACAAAATATCTACAATACACCCACTAACATGCCATTAGTGGGCAAGCTCTGCATGAATAACATTAAATGCAACACGAGTGCAGCCAGGTCACGACATACTCTATTCCTGTATCAGGCCCCAGACCATGTTGCATCAGAAAGCAACACTCATCACCACACTCTGTACTTGTTCTTCCTCAAGGTGAATGACGAGCGAAAAGCACAAATATGCACAAAAACAAGGTGCATAGAGGATGGCCCTGGGCAGGTCTATTTTCTGTTCCATCCCTAATGCATTTTGTGGTTACTTTGATTCATGACCATTCCAAACTGTGCAGAGTTTTCACTGCAGCTTAAGACAAAATGAATAGCGACTTTTAAAAGATTTAGGTGAAGTGCTTTCTTTCAGGTCTAAACCCACCTGCCTTGCCATCAGTTTTTGGATCCATAATAACAAACTCGGGCCGAAGTTTACTGATGCGCCTTCCTTTGAGAATAGGCACAAGTCCTCCTAAATATTCTAGGTACAGCGTGTAGCAGGGTCCGCCTGCTTCAGGACTGTCCTCAGCTCGCTTCATGGTGCAGTGGAGCCTCTCGTTCCCTGCTGTGGGATAGCTGACAAAGTCGCGGATGTTGTTGGGGTCAGGAATTGGCGGCTAGAACAAAGAAAGGAAGGAGCTGTAAGACTGCTGGACACTCAAATGAAAACATGCCCCTGTCAGCAATTTTCCTTTACTCGGTGTGCAATAAAGTTGGTAAGAAGCCTATCTCTGACAGTCACTGCACACTAATGAAACAGGGATCATTGCACCGCAATGGTGTATATGAAAAGCAGTGGTGAAAAGCATCACTAACACTTGACCGTCTGCTGTACCAAAAAAGACCTGATGCAGGATTGCACATTAAACTTTAATACCTTGATGGTGGGGATAAAAGCAGTGGTGACATAAGAGCAGAGAAGCGAGGGCATGTTTAGTTTCCCGACATCTTTCTCCTCTCGCAGGGCGCTGGCAATGCCTTGCTGGCATAAAAGTTGGAGGCTGGCCACCCTGTGCTCCACACGGACCACATAGAGAGCTGGTCCACATGCGAGGAACAGACGGGAATCTCTGTGACCCCAACAAATGGTGGTGATGGGCCTCTGAAAAAGAACCACTGAGAATAAGAAACTTCCTGCAGGCGTCAATAGCAGAGCAGGTTCGCTAGTTTCTGTTTTATGCTATTTCCTATTGTTGACTTAGAGCTGGAACAAAGGTTAACACCCTTTAGGTTAGATTACAAAACAAACAATCTACACCCTTGTATCTGGCAAAGTGTCAATCCTAATCTTTGCTGTAGTTTGCTTTCAAGAATGTCTGAGAATGTTTAACAATTGAAAGACAATTTCTACTAATTGGTCCTCACTTGTGTGGATTTTATGAAATATGACACAAGGTTTATGTTCATTATTATGATTTTTTTAAGCAAGACATCTATCCCTTAATTTATGAAGGACTAACCTGTGCCGGTGTTTCCAAAGTGTAGATGTGTTCACCTTGGACATTATAAAACTTAACAAGGGCATTCCTCATGATGGATGCACAAGCTGAGTCAGAAGTGAGCCCATGTCTCTCCATGCCAGCCACAGCCAGGAGGTCTCCCTGGGAGCACCACTGGGCCTCGACGTCTTTGGTCGAGAAAAAGGGTATTTACTTCACATGATTAACAGTATTTATCACTAAAGTTGCAAATTAACATACTTATGTTCAGAGTTCATACCTTTAAGCCCTGAGCGAATTATACTAGGAGAGAGGTCATCATAGTTATTCATCAAACTGATATCTCCTGATAAGAAGGTGACAGTCAACAGAGGCTTAACTCGCCGCACTTGGAGGAAGAAAGAAAAGTACACATGTGAGTCTTCCTCAGGCAACACTTTTAACTAAGTTACATGAGCCGAAGGGCAAACCGGTTTAGTACCTAAAGGCAGAATATTGTCATCGGAGTCTGTGTCGCTCTCCGTGCTGTCCTCGACTAGGAAATCGGGGCAATTCCAAGACATGCTCACAATCCCATCAGACTCGTGTAACAGAACATGTGCAAGCATCCTTCCTTGACAGTCCATCACAATTACCTGACCATCTGCTGTTCCAAACAACACCTGAGGGGACATTGCACATTAAACTTTAATAGTTGACTAGATAAACAAACAAACCCATTTCACTCACTCACTTCAAGATTATGACATTATTCCACAACACCTTTACATTTTTGAATTATACGTAATTGTAATTATCTTTTATGTAGTGCAAATTTAGCCAAACATAGGTACCTGCTGATCGTCAGGGGTCCAGATGCCACAGGTGATCTGGCTCTCCAGATTAATCTCAGAGGACCAGTGCCTTTGACCGCTGACCGAGCCAACTAACACAAACCCATCTCTGTATGCAATGAGGGCTTGAGTGCCATCATGGGACCAAGTGAAGTCACTCACCTAATTTAAAGATTTCTATCATTAGTGTAATTACACAAGAGGTCAGCGCCAAAAAGATACAGCCTTGCTTTTGCATCAGTTGGAGTACAAGCGCGTTAAATACCATAACGATGGAAAACAAAGCAATTTTAGCTCATATTTGCAAAAAAAATAATGTCTACCTGGGCTCCTCTGTCATTCACTAACTCCACAGACCATCTTCCTTCATACTGAATCCACACAAATATGCCTCCTTCCATATCACAAGTGGCCAGCTTCTGGAAGGGTTCATTCCAGCGCACCAAGACAACCTGCAGATACCCCAAACACCATCAGCTTTTTTTCACTAGCAGAGGAACATTCATCCATATAAAAGCTAAAGTAGTTTAAAGAAAAATCAACTTACATAGAGGAAAAAAATAATGTAAATGTGTATAAATATTAATGGCACACAATAATGAAAATGCACTCTGTTCATATATCATTTTAATTTATTTAAATGTAATAAAAATTAGCATTTCAGCGAGATGAATCATTTTACAAAGTATGCTAATGCATAGTCTCTGTAAATATAGTGCGCATTTAACCCAATTTAGTTCTGTAATATGCAGGATTGTTTTGTTTTAATTTATTTATTCAAACAGTAATTTCTTGATTTTATTCTGCTGTTGCAAAAGTTCCTTTACGAGTGGGCTGGATCAGTAAGAAGATCATTATTTTAGTCGTGTAAAATGAAAAAGCAGAGGTCATATTCTTATTTATCCATTCAACTCATTGCGAAAAAAGAGAAAATCCCACCTCGCTGTTGTGTCCTCGCAGGTTAAAATTGATTCTCTGAGGTGTACTTCTATCCCTCCTGCAGTGACTCGATGTAAACGTCACCCCAACGACTCCTCTCCCATTCCCTGTGGCGAGCCAACCCTCCTCATAGTACCGTCTCCGGCACACTGGCTTGTCCTTCTCACTCTTGGGGACCCGGCCTTTCCACGAGAGGCAGAGGATGTTGGAGTCGCTGCAGAGGATGGGACCATGTTCCACGGCGGCCAACATCCCTACTGATTGACCAGGCTGCCAAGCGAAACAAAGAAAGAGAGTTTCAAATAACACCATGCTTTCAATTGTAATAAAGCTAGATAATGAACGTTTTCAGTTTATGTCAGTGTGTGACTCTGCATTTACTTAAAACTGCCTTTTCAGTGAAGCTCAGGGCATTCTGGTATGAACACTGTCATGGTCAACAGGAAGCTCGGCTGTGGTTAATAATGTAAAATATGAAATAGTTTAGATTAAAAGCTTATTGACCTTTGAAACACAAGATGACAGAACAATCTCAATACAAGATCCAAGCTTTCCTGATGCTTCCAGTCATCTCACACAATCTTAATGGGCAGTTGCTGTTTGCCCGGTACAAATTTCCTTCTTTTCTGAGCACTTCTGGACCTTGGCAGTTCATTCAAAGGCCTTTTTTAGGGTGGAGTTTAATCAAAGCAGCTACAAAGATTGAACTTTCAACATCAGCTTTAAGGGTGATTTTGGAAAGAAGTATTTAATGTAAAGAGAGAAAAAACGGATTTTCAATATATACAAAGATAAACAAGGGGCTAGTGCAAGGGTGGGCAATCTCAGTCCACGAGGGCCGGTGTCCCTGCAGGTTTTAGATCTCACCTTGGGTCAACACACCTGAATCACATGATTAGTTCGTTACCAGGCCTCTGGGGAACTTCAGGACATGTTGAGGAGCTAATTTAGCCATTTAAATCAGCTGTGTTGGTTCGAGGACACATCTAAAACCTGCAGGGACACCGGCCCTTGTGGACTGAGATTGCCCACCCCTGGGCTAGTGATATAATCACAAATATGGTGAGACTTTTCTGTATAAAAATAAAAACACAGCTTTGTGTATGTTTCTTTTAAACATAGATCATCAAGATGAGTCACCTATGTTATCAAGTTATGAGCAGAGAGCTGGTTCAGCTTCAAAATGTTGCCTCCCAGAGGCGTAAATTTGCATGTTAAGAGAAAACCTCTGAAAAACCACCCAATTAACGAATTCATGGATATCAGTGGGCATCATCTTCCTGAGCTTATTTGCAGGTACCAGACTGGCAAGTGAAACCAGGCACTTACATGACTTACAGGTTCTTTGATAAATTCCATCCTAATGATTTTCATTTGTGTGAACAGACTTTACGCAAGTACACAAGTGAATCACCAAATGTGCTCTGACACCAGTAAAATCACGATGTCTGCTGCTCATAGTGTTCTAGCTGTTATTCTATTATTCACTGTCCATGGAGTGGCTCCAGGATTTGTCTCTAGATTACATCATCATGACAGTCTGCGTTTTATTTCTTCATATTCACAAACTGAAAATGAGAGGAGGACTAGACGAAACATGTGAATTGCAATTTAGGGCACAAATATGCAAACCACAGTGTATTTTTAAATCCTGTCTCCACAACGTAGGTTAGACACATTTCATTTTTGGGCGCATTCATTTTGCAACCTTCCTACTCATTTGGATTTACATGAAAATGTCTGAAAGAGCTCACATAGATATCGTAAAGTAGAAAACCAAGATTTCCCACATTAGCCCTGGAGAACCTTTAAAATGCTATTTTAACTCTTTTAGGTCCCCGTAGTAGCTTTTAAACAATGCTATTCTATGATACTAATTTCACTGAACACAATATTTTACAAGTACGACAGAAACAGACAAATCTAGTCTGGTTTGCTTTTAGTTTTTGGGTGTCTCTTCTGCAATTTAAAATCAAGATCTGTTTATGAACAGTTTAGATCCTACGTGGTATCGTCTAGCACACTACATAATAGGTAATAGCATTCTATAATATGGCTAATTAAAGTGAAAAATGACATTCAAGTTAGTCTGGCAGCACATAATAAATACCTCATAGTTCCTGGACATGTTGAGTCAAAATTCCTCCATTGAAGGTGTCCATATTTCCATTCAGATGGTGCACTGGAGGGTAGTGGCGGCTCTGCTCTTGATACTTACAATAAAATCTACGGGGAAGTAAAATGCATCATACAGCCAAATGGTGTCCAGCTCTACATTCACCCAAATCAAGCAGCTCTACACTCCAGAGTTTGCCATTAAATGACTTGAGGCTTCTGTGCCAGTAGCCCATCCCATGTCTTCCTGATGTGGCTCCAGAGAGTTGTGCAATCCTGTTGCAGTGAAGATGAAAAAAGAGGAAAAGAGGAATTTTGTTATTCAACAAGTAAGGTAATCAGAGAGAGAGAGAGAGAGAGAGAGAGAGAGGTGGTTTTTGCTTTAAATAGCACCCTTGTCATTCAGTGCATCAACCTTGAAATTCACAGTGTTTCTCAGTCTCTATGCAACAGCAACACTGCATTGGAGACCAAGGCACTCGCAGTCTCCATGGGTACTGATACTGTCTGTTCCTTTCCACCAAAGCAGCAGCAGCAGCAGCAGCCAGGCAAGGATAAGAACTAAAATGCCCAATATTTTACACGAAGCAGACCCAAAACATATCATAGTGTAGCTAACAATAATATAATTGCATCTTGTGACTCAAACTCAGGTTTGAGACTTTAGCACCCGATTACAGTCGAAATAAATTACCCATCCTTTCCTTTATAAAGATCTCCCACTACATGACACATTACATCAAATGATTTTCCCATTCAAAGGCGTCTCACCGCATGCAGTAGTCTGAATGATTGAGCGCTTACGAGACAAAAACAAACTGCGGTGGTAAATGAATGTATTCATTTATAAAAGCGACTGTGGGGAGAAAAATATGTCCTATATGTTGTACGTACCTGACACCGCTGTAATCACGTACTAATCCAGATGTAGTCGGCGCACAGTGCGGTAGTGTTGCCAGGCACTTTTCCGCTGGCGCACTTTGGGGTTGTGGCTTTAACGCGGGTTGCCATGAGGCAGGTAGCACGTAAAATAGACCAATGTTTTCAAGTTAGTACAAAATTAAAGCGTCAACACCCATGATAATCGTCTTAACAAGCGCTGGAGGTGACTATGTGCAGTTCATTTAGGTATCTTATGATATGGAGGCTCGTCCACGGGCTGTTTGCATATAATAAACATTCGATTCAACACTGCACTTCAAAAGCGTGTATCCTTCATGATGGCAACCCCAGAAGGCGCACCCGATCTTTGCGACGTAAGTTGAGGTGACATTCTTGACTCAACACCTTGATGTTATGCGTGCGCTGGTAACCCACTGTCCCACCTTTCTGCCTCATAATCAGCATCACAAGAAAGAGACACGAATTTCATTAAATTCACATGCGTGTGAATTCTATAACAACAGATTCAGACATTTAAAAATAATTCTTTTTGTTCTTTATTGGCTCTCATGGACACACAAACAGGGGCAGAATCTGCTCTCAGACTCTTTAAAAAACAACAACAACAAGAAAACAAACACAATTGGTAGTTTACAGGTTATGAGAGGTCATGTTACAATTAACCAGTTTAAAGAAAATCCCCCACTGACTGTTTTTGATAATTAACTAATCAGTGAACCACTTCCAAGCTAAAGCGAAAACAGCTCCCCCAATCTTCCTCGGTGTGCAAATGTGCCTCTTGTGTCCGTTTATAGGTCATCACAAATGGATTTGTAACATTTAGAGAAGACAAAATAGGATGGCCATTATTATTTTGTCATTTGCTGATATTTTATGAATTGTGAATTATAGGGGAAATAATGTGCAAATGTATCAATTATGGAAACTGCAACCCTTATTCGTGTCTTTAAACAAAAGCTGAGCTGACACTTCATGTCTCTAACCCCTTCACACTGCTTCAAAGTGAATCGTGCACAGACAGCTGTCCCTTTAAAGACAATGCAAAGCCAGAAAGTCTATTGTTATCCACTGAACTGCTTCAGTTCTTGTTGTATTTATGTGGACTTTTTCAGGTGCAAGTCTCTTCAAAGGCATGGATAACAGTGTCATATGCAGGAGGGGGCGTCTGTGAGGGTAGAAAACCTTTAAGCCCATTGTTGCCCAGCCAGAAGGAATGCCTCTTGTTTGAAACAAGCGATGCTGAATCAGATGAGTTTGAAGGCGCTGCATCCTCACACACCTGGGTGTCATCTCCCATATCTAGGGCAGGCCTGCTCTTCTTGGGTAGTGGGCGAAACGTGGATGTCTCTGCACCTGGCTTACTCCCCAGGGGGCCAACTGGCTCGAGAGAGGGCTGTCTGTAGACGCTCAAAAAAGTGCTTCGGTACAGGCCCAGCTGGCTGCTCGTGGCATCGTTTGTTTGTGAAGCGCCAGATTTCTTTTTGGAGTGCCTGGTGATCCTGGCTGTAGCCCGGCGCCTGGATGCCCAGGTCAGCAGAACGTAGATCAAAGCACCCAGCAGCAGGCCCACAAGCACAGATAAACAGAAGGCTAGAATCATATCGCCTGGAAACAGAGAAATCATGCAAAGTCTCAGAAAAGGGACTGCAGAGGGATAAAAAAAAAAATGGCTGGAAATAATTAGTTTAGAGGGAGATAGGATGGATTGTGTTGTTCTCATAATGGGTATATTATATATCCAAATGGTAGTTTCAGGAGAGGAACAGCTAAGATCTTAGAGTTGTTTGGAAATGTTCCTCCGGTGTATTGATTTATTGTTTCTGAGAAAGGCTATACTGGGCTACGATGTTACATAAAACCTTACATCATACCTGGTGTGTGGGTTTTTTAGTCTGTGTAGTGTCAGTGTGATGAAGTGCAAACAGACCATTTCATTTATGTCAAATTTATAAAAAAATTACTCAACATTTCCATCGTCATTCTTGACCAGAAACAATGGAAACTTTTAAAATCACGTACTAAAATTGGACAGCCGCATAGAAAGCAGTTCATATGTTATATAAGACATCAAGACAGCTATGACAAACAAAGCCTATCACAGATAAAAAAAAAAAGAAAATGTTGTACTATAGAAGAAAATATAAGAAATTCAAAGGGGCTATTTTAAGTGCTGTATACTTGCTGTTCTGACTCTGCCTACAGTAAAGAATTGCATCCAAGATACTTGAATAGTACTGAAGTAGCAGCAGGACTCTATTTTGGCCCCAGACCATTCAGTACTTGTTTGACTGATCCAAAAATAATGTGCAGTTTAGTATTTTCTAGTGATCTAATTTTGGATTGCAGGTTTTTTACTGTGAGACTGTATGTGTTGAATCAAGTGAAGAACTATCACATCTATATTTTAAAATACAAAACTTTGTACTTTCACACAGTGTAGGCTACAGCTTTGGGAAAGAAATGCAGATACACTCACCCAGATTGAATGATTTGTCTATTTCCAAAGAGGGATCCGTTTTATTTTGTGCCATTATTCCACTATGAGCCCAGCTCTAGATTCCACACAGACGGAGAAACACTGAGCTTTTTCCAAGACAGACTTTTTGCTGTTTCCCCCCCTACAGTGTTTGCTGTGGCGGAAACTTTGCTGTCATGCTTCCTTCCCTCTCTGTCTTTAAAATTAGCAAATGCATTGCTTATCTGTGTGGGACATAACACAGGGAAACAAGCTCATTTCCTTTTACATCATTTCCTTACAATCAATACTTTTTAACGAGCCATTATTGACACTTTATTTTACATTTAAAAAGCAGTCCATGTTTAAGAGATCTATTACTTATGTAACAATTTTATTCAGATCATTCAGTATCATATAGAAAGTTTTTCATGGATTTTCAGGCAAGACAGAATAAATAGTCTTTCCTCATATGCCTGAGAAAGTTTTCAAGTGTCTTGACAAGGTTCTGGATAATGAAAACCTAACCCTCTGTTTAAGAGTCTGCAGGGTATCAAGCTTTGAGTCTCCGTGGGGATTTCCTTCAATTGTTGCTGTGTTCCCACTTCATTCCTGCCCTAAGAGCTTTCAGGCCAACAGCACAGCCTGAACCACAGCTCTCTGGAGCTCAGCACTTCTTTGTATTTTTGTTCCTCTGTTTTGTTTTGTTTTATAAGGTTTCGTTTCAAGCTTTCATTTAGTTAAAACGTGTTGTTTCTAGGTAAATGAGCTGATGCTCGTTTGTAAGACTGTGATGTCACAGAAAAGTCCAGTAGGTGGCGCCAGAGTACTTGCAATGAGTTTTATTTCGAGCACTTGGTTTGCACATAGGTTTTGAAACATATTAAGGTATGATAGTGTACAGACTTGCTTTCCTTTAGGGGACAAACAACTTTGGCAAGCAATGGTTCGTGCAAGTCTCTAGAGAATAAAGATAAATTTAAATTTAGCACAAATGTGTGTTTGGTCGATTATTTCTTTGTAGTGACAATGATTCTTGGCTGTAGTGGGTGTCTGCTCTAACCATGCCACGTTTAGGAAAACTTCATAGTGGTGTTCCGCAAAATTTAGACATAAACACAAATTAATTTCTTTACTTTGTGGGCTAAGTTTAAGTAATGACCTCTGTGTGTGTTTGTTTCATGAATTAAATGTAATACACGTAAACCAATACATGCTCATGCTTTAAGCTATTAAGTCACTTGTAAATGTTAATAAGAAGCTCTTTTGCAGAGCAGAAGTGATTAAACAGTCTACTGAGGTCCCTCTAAAGGTTCACGCTGGAGGAGGATTTTTTTTTAACAATCTGGCAACCTGAAAATAGCTCTAGTAGCATATAAAGCAAAGCACATTAAATATTAAAAAAGTAATTAATTACAGATTACAGATGATCTTTAATAGCCTTGTTTATTGATGTGCATGCACTGTATTAAACCACCACAGTGTGTTTCTTTCATTTATGCCATGCACTATTTGCTAAACATTTTAAAATGTTATCACTTTGCCATCAAAAGTAATTTATATTTAAAGGGCTATATACCCGGGAGTCATCTGTGTTCTGCGGAAAAACAAACCCATTGTTCCTATTAATTAACAAACAAACAAATAGATTAGAATAGAATAGGAATGACAGGAGCTTGACCACACTTTCCCGAAGCCTCCTCCTGCAGCGTGTGGTGCAGCTTGTTGCCAGCAGTTTGCCGCTCAGCTTCTTGCGGTCGCGAACTTATCCGCGGCTGCAGCGCTTCACGCCACCACGTTTCATTTTCAGAGTTACCAATGGCAACGAGGCAACACACGCGCAGCACACAGGCACTTCCCCTGTGAAGTTACTGTGCTCTTCAGTGCTCAATGCGGTAAGATGAAATGTCAAGACGCTGCTGCAGATTTCTTAATTGTTTTTGTTTCATTCATTTAGCCTCCTGTTTAATTACCCGTATTTTGTGCGCTCGAGCGTTTTCGTGCTCGGTCTTGTGTGTGTTGCTTCTGTAATGTTAGTAACTTCCTCTCTTGTCGAACTCGCACATGCACATACATCAGATAGCTCTACAGCTCTGCTACTTTGATAGACACTAGTTAAGAGTAAAGTAACTTGCCTGTAGGATTAGTAACGCTTGGGAGCTTTGGATCCAAAGCTTGGTGTCCAGCTAAATTCAACATTTACTTGAGCTAATCTTAATTTACATTTCCTCAGTCGACAGTTTAACTTCCTTTTTTGTTTTTAAAAAAACCTTTGCTTTAGATAACTGAAAGCATCAGCCAAGGAGAAACCGTTTTTAGCCGTTATATCTAAATCTGTATCTATGACTTCCTGCCAGTTTCTAAGTGCAGTCAAATTCAGTCAAATGTCTTCATAGTCTGTAGCTTACCTATCATGTAAGCAAATATTTGACTGTTAGACAGTGTCATCCCCCCCCCAATTTGTAACACCTGTAGTCCTATATATGCATTTTCTTGAGAGTCAGAAAAGCACAAGTGTCACTAATACCATAAACCATGGCTCTGTTGTCCTTATACTTGTGCCTTCCTGGCTGTGATGCAATAATATGTTTAGTTATCTGTGAAAACATAGGAAACTAAATGCAGTCAAGTATTATTTTGAATGAATTTGCCTGTCTCAAAGGATACTTGAACGATATTAAGGAGTAAATAGCACTTAGAGACGAGTTACTGTTGATCACAATCATTTACTGACTGATCTGTTGCAAATATCTATCTTATTAAGACCACTAAGAACTTAAAAGTAACTAACTAACAGGCTCTTGTGAAAGAAATCTTTGGAGACGTTTCATCTTTTAGGTTTTAAGTAGAACAATACAGCAAAATAATTCTGTTCAGTCTCAAGTTATATACCTTTCTGTCGCAGGCGGTGAATGGAAGAAGGGCCTCTATTGGACAGTAGACCTGCTTATCTCTTCGTGAAACCTGAGATTCAATTGGGCCTTCTCCTGCAGTGAAATTAGAAAGAAGCAGAGAGGAGGAGGGAGGAGCAGAGGGGATGTCCCACACGGGACAGTTGTGAAGGATCTTTTGCTCTCAGCATCAGTGACACCACCTTGTCATTACAGCTGCAAGGAGACAACATGGCTTCTCCGAGGCAGTCAGGTCGATCGTCTGTGGACATAGCTAATGTGATGCAGAGACTGCAGGGTAAGTGGCACTCTTTTGCTCAGCTGGTTTACGGACACAACATCCTCTGCTCCTGCACTGCTGCACTGTAATATTGTGCTGATTCAAAGTCTGGCTGCACGCCCATCTGAAGTTTGCCAACATTTGCAATCCAGGATGCTCACACATGCAGGCTTACATTTATACATGCTCGCACACTTACAAAGTCGTATGTGAGCATGTGTGCTTACAGTTAGTAAACCTACTCTTAAAATAAATTTCTTGGCACTCTGTAAACTGTGTTGCAGGTTGATTTAAATAGTTTTAAAATGCCCAAAGTTTGCACTATAACATCTGTGTTTCAGTACAAAGTTACACTACACTGCAGCTGACTTGTTCTCAAGCATTTGTAGGTTTTAAAGGCATAACAGAATCACACATTTGGCTAATTTGATATAGTGTGCACATGGTCCCTTTTGTCAAAGGCTTTTTTTCACATAATAATCACATTTAGAACATCAAGAAAAAATAATGTCGATTCCTGCAAATCTTGTGACCACACTACAAGAAGACATAGTGCATTGTTTGGTGACCCAAACTGGGTAATTAAGAAGTTATTTGGATGAACACAATTTGATTTATTTTGTGAATACGGTGAAATAAAGCACATGATTCATTTTCTTTTATCAGTTTGTCTTCACATCTTCACGTTATATTTCATGTGAGTATTAGTAGGTCAAACTCTTAGTAAAGAGGCGCACATTTTTACATCATGTCATGTCAAGTAGCATCAAGTCTTGTCACCAGTGCAGAGAACGCTGTGCTTCTTAAGTGCTAGAATGCTGCTTAGTCAGAAAAGTTCTTTCAGTGAACTGTCTGATTTTTGCTCTTTAGTTGTAGGTTATTTTGGTTGTTGTTTATTTTTTGAGACAAGATAATGATTGCAAGAAACATTTAATCTCCCTCGAGTCTTGATAGGAGATACTGAATCGTAACAACAGTGCCTACACAAGTGCACAGACAATGCACTGAACAAGACTAAAACCTGACACCCTTTCTGTCCTTGGTAAGAGAATAGGTCGATAACGCGAGTCTCTTTTTGTTGGCGTCCCCCTTTTGTTACAAGGGCATTAGGCCACAACCATCATTTCACAAGTCTGGTCAAGTCTGGCACAGGTTTAGTTGTATTTCAGATATACAGTATACTAGGAAATTTCACACCTTATGGCGTGTCGCCATAGATACTGTTATGAAAGGTTTGTCTGTGGTTGTGCCAGTGCTGCCCAGTTCCTGCTGCAGAGAAACCTCATTTCCTGTGCATTGCACAGCTATTTCAGTTTGCTTAATGGTAAAATATGTTAACTAAAAGAAGGTTATAAATGTGTGACAAAGAACACTTTTGTGTGGCTGTTTTGATATCTTCATATTGGCTGAGCTGTACCCTGATGAGGGACTACCAGCTCACCCAGAGTTAATTGAAGCATGCTTGGATTGTTTCTTGACATTGCAGTATTGCTGAGTGATAAATATATGCCAAATCTCTTAGGTCTTACAAAGAAAATGATAAAAAATCCTGTTAAAGTTCACATGATCAGTGCACAGATGGCACGATCTGCACTGCAAAGTGCCAGCCGTTGTTGTGTTTCATGCCAGGAAGTGTATATTAGTCACATCTGGAAGACATTAGCGTGCCGGTGATTTTAGATGGCAAGCGGCAAGGTGCTCTTGGCTTTTCCATTGGAAATCATATGCAGCTTCCTGTCAATTAAAGTATCCTACAGAGACTATTATTGCACACTCACTTTGAATGGAGCAACAGATGCATTATTGACAGCAAAGCCATTATGTAAAAAGGTAGATTAAGAACGTGTTGCTTCTATCATGGTTTCCTGCTGTTTGTCGCTTTGATTTAAAAACTTTATGATGGTTCACCTTGCAACCTTAAATGCCCTCGGGGAATAATTGATGTCTGTTAGTTGCCAGGTGGAGCATTCATGACAGGCGTGTTCCTTTCA